TTTAGGTCCAGTGACTCAAAGAAATAGAGGTTCCTAACTCTTATGACTATACGTGTGGGAATGGATGTCTCTGCATAAATAAGCAAACTACTTTTACAGAAGTAGTTGTGATTGGACAAACGAGTGATGCAATAGAACGAATTGTCCTTCCTGAACAACTGGCATCATCAAAATAAAGAGCAAATTCAAACTGCCATTATTGATGGCAATATGAGAAGTTAGAATAGGGAAGAAACCCAAATCCTGACATGTCTCATTTTAATCTTAATTCCATTTTTTGAGGTAGTACAGTTCATTGAAGGTAGGTACAAGATGAATACGAGTATAACTGAACCATTGCAGAGATTCCTGAAACACTTCATTAAGTAAAGAAATGTGGAGCAATGATGAGCTACCATCTTTGTATCAGTATGGGCATAAATTTCTCTGACTCATTCAGGTACTCATGTACATGGCAAAACCTGAATTTCCTAATTGTTGCAGATCAGCAGGTTATCCTTTAGAGCAGTCAAGAAGCCTGGTGTGGAATTTAACTGCAGTTACCCATGCAACTACTTGATTTTTCTCAGCCTTGTACCTTCATTCAAGAATCATACCCAAAGCACCATGTGTGCACACTAACATGTAGTACTCCAGGGGCCCCTGGTGGTCTAGTGGTTAGGGTGCTGCACTCTCACCGCTGCGACCCGGGTTCGATTCCCAGCCCCCCGGGCAGATGGAGCTCGTCAGCCCTGTGTGGCAATCCATCTAAGAGAAGGACACTCTAAACAAACCTACGTCCTGAGACCCTCACTGCCACTGTCCAAGCTTGCTCGGCCCCGGCAGATGAACCTCAGGATTAAAGGGTGGGCTCAGTTCAGCGCACGCTGGGTCTCACCTAAAAAATCCACTGTGCAGGCTCGAAGGGTTAATGACCTTTCCCAAATCTTCGCTTGCGAAGACTGGCCATATTCTATGTCCCATGTACTCCGTGATCCCCATAAGGAGTCTCATTAATTTGTAAATTTGGGGGTCATACCTGTATGAATTTTTGTTACTCTGCAACATCAAAACCTGAAAGTTCCCATTTGTCAGTCAGTTTCTTGGGACCTTACCTCCAAGTCTTACATGGGACTTTGATTTGCTAATCCAAAGTCCCTACAGCAATTTAGCACTTAATAATAGGCAATCAAGTAATTTCTGGTGTATTACAGAAAAAGAATAAGCAATCCTGTACAATCCATGGGCTGTTATCCAGAATTGTTCAACTGAAGTGATGCTGTTTCACACCAATTTTCACTGAAGATAAAAGGCCATATTCACAGGTCCATCAACTTCTGACAGGCACTGAACTAATCGTCTGTGCAGCACTCGTCAATGAAAGTGCCTGGAGCATTTAAATCTTTGCAAAGGAAGCCGAAAACTACAATTAGGTGTCTACAGTCTGTTCTGTAGCTCACATTTATTGCCAAACCCTGTAAAATAACTCCTTTTTTATAGAGTAGTATTTATAAAGCACATAGAGTGGTTAAGTCAAGATAAAAGCTCTGGGGAATGATGTTTGAAGACTATCTAAGGAAAACACTCCTAGACTTCAGTTTTAAATGTGTACTTTTTGAGAGACCAGTGGGAATTTATAACTTTTCAGAGTTACTGGAGAAATAAAAGGAATTATCATTTATGTTAAGGAAACATGTTTTGTTCTTTTACTGTTCTTTTTAGGTTGCAAGAGTTGTCAGCCCCCAACAGTGGTTAAAATTGCACTTGATTTAGAAACTTCTAAAATAATCTCAAATGAAAACATATCAGTTTGTGTATTATTAGATAAATATTTAAGAATATAGTAAAATGTAAGATGAATGAATTTTTAAGTTTGTTGGTAGTTTCTTTCTTGTATTTAGAAAAATACAGCAAACTAATCAGTATAAAACACTTATTGTTTAACAAAAATGTTGCTACAAATTGAAAGGGAAATGTTGACAATATAAATTAATTAAATGATGCAAAAATTAAAGTACCGACTCTCTTCCTTCCACATACAAAAGCCTGCACTTGTCAAGAAATATTCCCCCCACCATTTTTCAACTGCCTGTGGCCACATGCCAAGTCCAAACCATATCAAATGATTTAACTTAATACAGGTATAAATATGCTCAGACAAAAAATCTAACATGTAACTGGTTTATGTGATGTTCTTTCAATTAGCCATATTCCAATAAGTCTCAGTTTTAATTTCATAAGCCTCAGAATTCATTTGGCTTTGGTGAATTCTCCTCCCCCTCAGTAATTAACTATTTAACTGTGACTAATAAAAAAAAGAAGTCAAATTGCATATTGGTTTTATCAGCAGTAACAGATAATTAATTAATCACTCATTCTATTGAAATTGCTTGAGTGTAATTAAAGAAAAGTAAATAATCAGTGCTGAGTTAGCTTTCATTTTCAGATTTCTATATGCTTAACTGAACACACATACATATAAGTGCCTGCATTTCTTTTCATGATAAATACTCTTTGGAAATTTTTGTCTTTAATTATTTTCAAGCATTTAGAAAGGTTTATGGCAGTTTGTTAAACAAACCAAAAAATGCATAATGGAGAAACTCATAATAATAACTGGAGCTGCACAAGTATACAGTTATAAATGGTAGCTCATAACTCCATATTTAAAACTACAAAGTGGTATCATCACAATGAAGAAAATTATAAAATTTTTCATGTTTTGTTGATCATAAAGTATTTTTATGATCTACATCTGTGTAGATCATAAAGTATTTTTCCTCCTAAATTGTCCATCCACCAAATATGTTTAAATGTTACAGAGCATTTCGTATTACAACTATCAAAAACAGTGAACCATTTTAAGATCATACTGTAGGAATCAGAACTGAATGGACTGAATGCGTGTTTAGCCTTAAGACTTCTCTTTTCCTAACTCTAAAAATATCATGCAAGTTAGAAAAATATATCTATAAGGATAACGTTTCATCCTAACCTATTTTAGAAATTTAGGATCATTTTGGTCTGTATTCTTCCCACGGATGTGGGAGAGTTAGACTCCCACCCAAGAGGATTAAGCCCACTCAAACCCATCAGGTTCCCAGTACTCAGGTGCTTGAGCCTTGCTGACACGGGCACAGGGGCAGGGTGTATCTTTGCAGGCACGCAGGGATGCCTTGTGCTGAGTGCCTAATATGGGGAGGGATGTGCTGGTTCGGCACCAAAGCCAGCCTACCCCGGGCTAGAACCTCCTGGCTGAGATAGCCTTGCATGAAGGCGGTTGCATGAAGGCAACGAGCCAGATGTAGTGATTTCTCTAAGTTCAAGAGATGAAATGCCCCAAGATATGAAATGAAGGGCCCCATGTCTATCAGGCATCCACAGATCAGCAGGTATCTCTCATACACTGATTTCACACACCAAGTCTCCCTGCAAGGTGAGCAGTGCAGTCTGTGCATTCAAAGCCCTAAGTCCAGCAGGACTCCCTATGGTACCATACACACTGCAGTACGCAACAATCTTTTATTTTGTATTTTTTAGGAAAACGATTGAACTCTAAACTAAGCCCTGCTCTTGCACAGAGACTGCAGTCTTACTTGTCCTTTTACAACCCTGTCGTTTCTGTGCCTCCGGGAACTCAGTGGGAGCTGCTGACTCCATGGAGCTGATCAGTGGTATTTTGCTTCATACAACACAGCAGTTCATACCTCCTACTGACTTAGGCATTGTACTACTACGTTCTTCCACACTCGAACATAGCTGTAGTCTGTTCTGTACTCACTAATCAGCTATAACAGATACATGTATAAAATGATACTAAAACGTTGAACTAAAAATAAACCTTGCTCACAAAAGCAGTTCTTTTTTTCTCATCATGGAGATGATCATGCTGGTTTGTATTTTTAGTGTGATTTTCAAAGACTTGCATAGTCTGCTTTACAAATATTGGATTTTTCTGAGATTATTTACTAGTCTGTAAAATTTATGGATAAAAAGACATCCATTACTCTATTACCTTCAGCACTGTGAATAATTTTGTGAAAGTAATGTAGTGTCTCTTGAGCTGAGCTAAAAACACTTAGGAAAAAAAACTTCCCTTCTCCAACATTATTTATATTATTTTTTTTCCTTCTGTATTTCCAAAAGGTCTCTTGCACTAATGCATTTCAATGGCACTTAATTATGTAGCCCTATTCTAACTCTGCAAATGTCCTCGCTTATGGCTTCCCATTATTGGGAGATACAAACTATTTATGTTAGATAAAACTAATTATTAAATTCCTGCATTGGCCAAAATCTAATGCCTATAGCATTTTTCAAATAGTCTATAACTATTTTTCAACAGTGTCTCTGCATTTTCCTGTTGGTTTTGTTTGCTCGTTTGTTTGTTTGTTTGGGGGGGGGTTGGTTTATTTTATTTTACTTTATTTTATTTTAGTGGAAAATCAAGAGAATAGCCTCTCTTATCCACTTCTAAAGTACCAATCAGTTCTTCAGTAAAAATGACAGAAATGAGAAAGAATGCAATGGTAGAAAGATTGTATCCCACAAAATTCAAGCAAATCAAGAAAACATTTTGCTTGGAGATTGATGGTTGATTGCATGAAAGAATAGACATATCTCTTAAAGAAAGCAAGAAAGTACCCTTGTGGCCAAGTTAAAAAGTACCCTTTTATCCAAAAGCTCATTTACCCTAAAGCTCATTCAGATGTGACAGTGTACGAATAAATACAGTATTTCCGATGGAAATTTCAGTACTGTATGAGTGGGTTATCTGAGAAAGAAACTAAAAATTAACTTTCATTGTGTTTGGAACAAGGACAATCACAAATGGGAACGTGGCGCTGTCCCTGAAAGCCAAACTTTTCTCACATTAAAAAAAAAAAAAAAAGTCATTCTCAAATTCTCTTTTCCCTGGTAAAGTATTAAAACCCATCGTCCTTTCAATCTGACTTTCGCTCTTCAGCAAGCTCTGAGGAGGTTTGGGCTCCCGGCGGCCCGTAGTTTCCCTGGCAACCGGCAGGAAGCGTCCCCGGGAGCTGAGCCGCCCGTCCCGCGGGGCCGTCGGAGCGGGGAGAGCGCTGCCCCCGGCCCGACGCTCCCCGGGATCAGCGGGAGTTGTGGGAACGGGAGAGGGGAGCAGGGTGTCCCCCTCGTTCTCGCACTGGGTCTGCGGATGTCCCGCGGGGGCCGGGCCGGCGGCTCTGTGGGAACTCGCCGGAGCGTCTCCGCTGGAGCCTCTCGGCAGTGACGGCGCTCGAAGCCCCGCGTCTCCTTCTGCCGCTGCCCCAGCTGCGCTCGGGAGAGTTGGCGCTCACCAGGGTAAGGAAGCAACCTCGCCTTTCAAATCCTACTGACTTTAGTTCTGCCTGCCTTAAGTGACTTCTAGGACCGAACTCCAGGCTGCACTTTTCCTCCTTTGAAAGTAGTCTTTTAGAGGTGTTTTCCTATTTCCGTTTAAAGTGTCTGTCCTTTGCTTGAAGTCTGTCATCTACCAGTAGATGGGTCACTTCTGTATCAAACCTCGTACCTCGCTTGTTTGATTCATGACTGTACTTCAGCCGTCTGATCTCTCTGCAAACACGTGTGAGTGACTTCCCGAGCTCATGACTACACAAGGGCTTTCATCTCTGAAGGTTGAGACCTCCTTATGAAGAGTACTTTTTCTGCTCAGTGCCACTTCCACCTCTGCAAGTATATTGCCTCATTGCGTTTTTACAAAACCATTATCACTGTCCTTACTACTATCTTCATTTCTGTCCCAAAGGGCTGACACCGTTCCTGCTTATTGTCACACTTTTTATCATTTACTTTTTGTCATGGTACAACCACTGACTTTTCTAGATTCAGTTGTTAGTTAAAACCTCAGTAAAGTCCTTGACATGTATCTTGACTACTTCCTGGGAAAGAGAATAAATTAAATACATCTGAATTACTTTTTAATACTTTTCTGAGAAAAATATTTACGTTGTTATTAGCAAGCTGACTGTTCATATTATGAGCAATTGTATATTTCAAAGGCTGACACTGATAGCACTATTTTGTGATATATGATGCTACTGTCAAGAACTTATCTGGTGTTTTTATAGTAAATAAAATATTTTGATTCTTATTTTTCTGATAGTTAAAAATATGCCTTGTAACTAATATGATTAGAGTTTAATGATAATAAGCTGGCATAAAATCAGTAGATATTCTTTCTGTGTTATTGTTTGTCTTTTAGGGCTTCAAATTATTTCTGGTTTTAATGACTTGCATTTTACCGAATAGTTCATGTAAGTGTCATGTAAGTTTTTGTGTGTTCTGAAGAGACTTAATTGTCTATTTGTGGTATGCTTGTTCTTTTAAAAAGACTGTCACTGGAGACAGGCTGCATTCTGGAAATAGTAAGATAGAGAAGATAGGATGTACAGTGGGTGAACTGATTTGAATCACTATTTCTGATTAAATCATCCATCAAGAAGTATTGATTTAAACTTTCAGTTTTAGTTTTGCTTTGTATTTTAGCTAATTTGGTAATCATTATTATATGTTGTTTCTTGACATTCACTAAAACTTAGGTGCTAGATTTAATTCTTTACACAAGTCATAAAGACATAGCATATCTACACAAGTGCTGGGACCTTATAATTTTTTACCAGAAACAGAAACAATCCTAAAGATTTCATAATTTAGATGATGACTGGGGAATGAGATGCTGGAAAGCTTTGGAAAGGGTCCTGGTTGACAGCAGGTTGAATATGAGTCAGCAGTGCCCTGGCAGCCAGGAGGGCCAACCGTGTCCTGGGGGGCATCAGGCAAAGCATCGCCAGCTGGTCAAGGGAGGGGATTGTCCCACTCTGCTCTGCACTGGTGTGGCCTCACCTTGAATATTGTGTGCGGTTTTGGGTGCCACAATATCGGAAAGATATTAAGCTATTAGAGAGCATCCAAAGGAGGGCAACAAAGGGGGTGAAGGGCCTTGAGGGGAAGCCGTATGAGGAGTGGCTGAGGGTACTTGGTCTGTTCAGCCTGGAGGAGACTGAGGGGAGACCTCATTGCAGCTACAACTTCCTTGTGAGGGGAAGAGGAGGGACAGGCACTGATCTCTTCTCTCTGGTGACCAGTGACAGGACCTGAGGGAATGGCCTGAAGTTGTGTCAGGGGAGGTTTAGGTTGGATATTAGAAAGCTTTCTTCACCCAGAGGGTGGTTGGACACTGGAACAGGCTCCCCAGGGAAGTGGTCACAACACCAAGCCTGACAGAGTTCAAGAAGCATTTAGATGATAGTCTCAGGCACATGGTGTGAGTCTTGTGAATGGTCCTGTGCAGGGCTAAGGGTTGTATTCGGTGATCCTTGCGGGTCCTTTCCAGCTCAGCATATTCTGTGATTCTGTGACAAAAGTATGTGACTGGAAGTCCTGTTTGGAGGGAAGAATTAGAATAACCAAGCTCACCAAGGACTGTATGTGCAGGAGTCTGGCAGAGATTAGGGCAGGTGGCTTATAGAGCTGTGGGTGTGTGAGTAGCATGGCAAAAAAAATCTGCCTCTCTAGTTCATCCTGATCTCAGTATTTGGAATTTAATCACATTTTTGACAAAAACAGGTGTCATCAACTTGCTAAAGGTGATAGCTGGATGGCAAGCATTCTGCTCATCCTTGAGGCAATGTTTGTTTCTGTGTATTATTTAATTTGCCTCCTATAGTTTTCATTTCTATATAGTGTCAAAGGATTGTAATTTCTTATTTACTAAATTGTTTTTCACCATCCAGAATGCACCATAGCATAAATTACTGAACATTAATAATATTCAAAACCAGCATTTTCACTCTTTTAGTTTTATTAACATTTGAAAACTTGTAATTTTCCAGGAATAATTTATCTTGTTCATCATAGTGTCAGACTTGGTATGTTAAATAGGCAGAGGACTATTAATTTTATGAGGGACACTTTAACCCAATTACATACATATATAGTGACACATGTAGCTGGTGCATTGACATTTAGAAGATCTAAATAAGTATTTAAGGATGTAAACAGAAGGTTATTTTTTCACTCTTTAAAAAAAATAAAAGTCGTTCTTACGTGGAATTGGAATTCATTTTCTGTGTTCTTTCTTTGCTGCCTCACATTTCTGTTCTCATCTCTTACTGATTCTGCACTGGGTTTTCTGTGTCCTGAATGTACTTGCGCTTCTCTTCATTTCTTCATCCTGGCTATTCCTCAGATTGTTGCTTTCTTCTGATGTGACTGTACCCAACCAACCTATTTCACTCTGGGCTCTTCTGCTGAGCCCCATAATGCTGCTTGCATTCCTGTAGGCTACCTAAAGGCAGACTGTAGCTAATTCACTTTAGCTGCAGGTCTCAAAGAACACAAGAAAAGGGGAGCAGGTTAGGAAATGTGTGCATTTGAAAGACCAAGTGACAAGACTGTTAAAATTATCCCATGCACTGCATAGGATGTATAAGAATAAGCCTTTGTTTCCTGGTGCACTTATTCAGATTTTCTTGATTGTTTGTTCATGTCAGTTTTATGGCCTGAGGATTCTAACCCTTGATAGTCTGTCATATAGGAATGAAAATTATTTTATGTTTTAATTATTTTTTTTATTTTAGGAAGCAATGTTCTAAGAATGTCATCACACATCCAAATAAAACCAAAGACTGCAGCACAGAAAAGCAAGACATCCTCTCCTTTACCATGTTCTCCAGAACCTGCAGTTAAACCGCAGCCAAAGCCTAGTGACAAGCTGAATCCTAAAACTATCGATCCGGTATGTATAGGTGATGGGGGGGTTGTTTAAAATCCATCTCTGGTTGGAAAAAATTTCCTTACTTTATGAAATGACATGCAGAACATGCTTCCTCTGATCCTGTTTTTTTAAATTTAAATTAAACTTTTGTTATTAATCATACATTCCCTACCTTCTAAGCCAAATGCCTGAGGCATAACATTGTTTATTACATTTTTAATAAATGTGTTTTGGTACAATTGTGGCTTGCATGGTAACTGTTATCTTCTATGTACTATTGCCCTAAAAAGAGATTTAGAGCTAAGAGATAGAGAGTTGGTTTGTTTTTTTTTTTAATATACTTCTAAACTTTGATACCTGCTGCTTTAGAGGAACTTATTGCAGTTATGCAATGAAACTAAGAATCAGGCAGCATCTTGAAGATCATCAAGACTTCATGAAATCTAGCAAATTAATTGCTGGTGAGCATTATATGAAACTCACAATTACTGTGAATACGTAATACTTAGGAAAAATTTGGGGTCTTGGGAGCAGAATAATGAATGGAGTCGCTTATTTCATGGAAGTCACGTGCCTGAAGAACAAGCATTGAATACATGAATTATAGCTCACCACTGGTCCACATAATTTGACTTGCAATAAACAGAGGCAGAATACTTTAATGTGGGCATCTTTTTTACTTTAAATCTTTTTGCAAGTAGCACAATGACTTAAGCCATGAAGTCTTCAAATCATGCAAACAATTTTAATGATTTTAATGTAGGTTCAAACACATAAAAATTAAGATTTCATGGTATTTGTTTTTAAATGCTTTGTGATAAGGTGTTTAAAATGGGAAGCAGCATTGAATGATCATGCTAATAAATAACACAATAGTTCATATGCATAGGAACCATGTATATGATAAAAAACAAATTTGTGCAGCTTTTCTACCTGTGAAGCTCCTAGTTTCCTTCTCCAGTGAGTTCTTTTTAGATTCTCACCCAGTATGAACCTCCCTGTGCATTTCCAGTGCCCTCATATCATCTTGCCCAATTTTTGGTATTTCTCCCATATCTTGCCACCTTGTACTTTTGTCTATACCCAGATCAAGATGGAACTGCATAAAACTGCCTTCTGCATGTTACCAATATAAATACAAGAGCATAAGGAAAGTGAGAGCTCCTTAATCTGTTAAGTAAAGAACCTGTAAGGCTTCAGTATTAACATTTGCAAGAGAAAATAGAAAAATAAGGTAATTCCATTGGGAGAACGCTGATTCTACATTATTTATTCATTTTAAAAACTTCCTAGCTAGACGATTCTGAAGAGCAGTTTTCTGATAAGTGTATCAAATATATGTTTTCCACCCCATACCTGCAGTTCTTTTTTTATTTATTTGTTTTAGAATCATATGACTAAGTTCTTTTTTTGGTAAACTGCATTTTAACATATTTATAATAGTTATAAAACTTTACTGTTATGAATAAATAATGCTCCTTCTCTCTGTCCTTGCAGTTTGGTGCTTATTCTCGACCAACATCTGCATTTGCTGCTACATATGCTAAAGGAGGCATTCCGTGCAGGTGTGTAGGGTTTGTTTAAATTTTTACTAAATATATTATGAAATACATCTCTTCATGTTTGATATTATAGTTAGGTTGTTTGATTCCATTCATTTCTGGAAAGATTTCTAATGCTCAGCTTTTTTCAAAGAAGAAAGCAATTTTCCATGCCTTTGAAATTGTCTTCCTTTGGGTTTTTTTTTATGCTGTATTAATACTAAACCCACATTTTTAAAGAATAGTTAAGTTTTTGCAGACTTGATTTCTCCAGGTAATCTTGTTTACTTCTCCCTACCAGCAAAGATAGTAAAATTAGTGCCATTTTAGTAAGTAGACCTCTTGCAGCCTTTTTCATCTGAAGTACTTAGTATGACAACATTTTATTGAATATTCCAATTCTGTAGTTGTCAGCAATATCAGATATTAACAAAAATACTTGTAAGTAATAGTTTATGGTGTTTTAAATTACTTTTGGATAGCCAATAAACATTTTAGTGTTTTCTTACTAGGATGCAGAATTACTTTACAAAAATTTAAGTAATCATTGATACAATGTACATGTGTTTACTTGTATAAAATAATCATTAATACATAGCCTTTATCTGTATCTTAGGAGTAAATAATAAATTCCAATATGATTTTCTTTCAGTTTCAACTGATTTCCCTTACCATTTGAGGAAAATGTTTCCTGCTACTTATCAAAATAAGTAACTTTGCAAAAGGAGCGTCTTCGGTGTTGGCATGAGAGGCATCTATAATTTTTATAATCTTTATTTTCTGATTTCTGTGTGATTAGGAGCAGAATTTTGAAACTGCTGTATTTTGGGAAATTATTACAATTTCACTGGTAAATACCATTATACATACACTAGGTTGGACTTGATGACCTCAGAGGTCTTCTCCAACCTAATTGATTCTGGGATTCTGTGATTTTGCTAATGAGAACATGAGATTGTGTATATAACACAGTAACACCACAAACTAATTGCTGATACATTTAAAGCGAATAGTGGTAGTAATAAATTATGTATTCTTATATGATGATTTGTTAAAACTTTGTTCTTTATATAGGTTAGTGCATGGATCAGTAAAGCACAAACTGCAATGGGAATGCCTTCCTGAAACTGTTCCCTTTGATCCTCTCCTTGTAACACTGGCAGAGGTAAACTCAATTTCTTGCAACATTAAGCATATAACCATTTCCTAATTGCAAATGTCATTTATTAACAATCTAAGCTAGCTAATTTAGGCTCACATACTAGGGAAATACAAAAAAAAATTTGTGAAGATCTTGTATGAATGAAAATGGTCAAGAGCATTGCTATTTTTAGTTCTTTAGTTAGAGCATTCTGAGAGAGCTAGGTAGAGCTGTTTGATCTTCAACATACTGGCCAAATGCAAGACTGCATCTCAGATTTCCAACTGCTGAATGAAATCTTCAATCCATTTGTAGTTTTGCAGGTTCTTTTGTAAACTAAATTGCTTTGATTATTTTTTTATATTAAGCCTACCTGTTGAAGTAAGTGTGTTCTTCTCAATAGATCGAACTAGTACAAGGAAAATAGCATCCTGTAAATAAACTGAAGAGCAGTACTATTCATTATATTGAGGCTTCTATTTTCTCAGAACCATCTGTGACATTTATCACCAAGTATGTTTCAGGTGCCTAAATAAATGATGAATCCAATGCTGTAGATAGAATAAAGTGCATATCCAGAGGTGGCTTATTCTCTTTTTTTTTCTTTATTTTTAAAAGATTAAACAAAACTGTCAATTCCTAAAGTAACATAAAGCTCCTATTGTGGAAAGAAGAAAGGCTTCAGCCATTGCCCTTTAAATCTTTGAGTTCTGCCAGTCAGGCCTTCTACACTAGAAGGGCATCTTTGTACCATCAACAAGTTTTTGATGTTACAGAGAGGGATGTGTGGTGGGGGGCATCTTTCCTTCCATAGTTCATCTTCTATTTTTTTTTTCCTTTAGGGTACAAAAACATAGCCTGCTCTTGTTCCTAGTCTTGTTGAAAAAATACCTTGGGTAGTTAGATTAAAGGTAGTACACATATTGATTCAATAGGCAGTATTCATAATGTGAGTTTTAATATTCAATGCTCCAAAAGAAAAATGAAGTAGAATATTCTGTGAGGAGAGTTGTACTGAGTGGCTCCACATGGTGGAGTTAGTGTACTTTATGTTTTGAACTGATCTGACAAAATCTAAACATTATCTTGCTGCTATGTGGAACTTTTTAAATGTGTTTTTGTTTAAAAGAAGGCACACTGTTAAGAAACACATTTTACATTTGCAACAGGGACTAAGAGAGACAAAACATCCCTATACATTTGTTTCAAAGGAGGGCTTTAGAGAATTACTTCTGGTTGAAGGTGCTACTGAAAAAGCAATTCCCTTGTTGCCTCGTCTAGTTCCAGTCTTAAAGGCTACACTGGTACGTCTTACTCTTCATGAAGAGATTTTAATGGGTTTGATTTTTTTTTTTTTGCTGGTAAGAACTACATGGAAAATATTAATGTGATAAATCTACTGCATGGGTTTTGGTTTGGGGGTTGGGAATGGTTTCTCTTTCTCTTATAAACCCTGCCTTGGTTTATTAGCTAAATATGTATTTAACTGTAAATTCAAATGGGCAACTCGTTATAGCTGTATGACAGTAGCTATGGGCAAATTTTGTGGAAATGTTCTATTAAAGGTCTGTATATAAGCAGAAATAAATATATGTATTTGTGGTGGTTTTATACATCCACATGCAAAAAATAGAAATGAGGTGAAGTAAAATGGAGATGGAATAAATAATCATCTGTTATATCTAACAATTCAAAACATGCTGCAAAGGTAAAATAGAACATGTCAATGAGGAAAAGGGAAGAATACAGTTAAAATATTTGTGGTCATATTGTTAATTTTTAAAATGTTTTTAACTTTTCTATTCCTTCAGAAAACAAAGTGAGATATTGGCTTCAAGGGTTATCTTTTTTGGCTCTTTTTCATATTTTTCAGAGCCCTTTTCTGGTTCAGCAAGTAGCTGTTCTTTAATCTAGCTGTGTTTCAGTTTTGATTTTATAGAGATTGCTGAAAGCTTGAAAATTCTTTGTGGTCTCAAATCAGAGGTGTAACAGAAGTTCAGAATTCTGTGTTATCAGTATATTTGATTTAGTTTGAAGACAAAATTAGAAATATTATTCTTACCTATTCCTCAATTACTGTTACTCATCTGATAATTTTTATTGTTGCACTGCTTTGGTATAAAGTCTTCTTAAACCTACTGCACAAGCAGTAGTTAACTTCTAGTTAAAAAGAAAACATTCAGGTCTCAAATGCTGGAGTGAAAAAATAATTGTTTAAATAAACTTAAAATTTAGTACAAGAACAAAATAAATTCTTATGAGTCTATTTCTCCACTAGAGGAAAAGTGAATAATTAAACCATTAGAGAACTTAGGGATGGAAGAACCTTCCCATGGGAGAAATAAAGATGACTAGGAACCCTAGAAGTAGATAATTGCTGGCAGGTGACAAAGGTGTAGAGAGAACTAAATGAATTGAGGCAGAAAGTCATTGGCTCCACTGTTTCTCCAACAAAGGAAGTTATTGTTATGAATTACATAGAAATTACATTGAATAATTACATTTGTAAGTAAAATGGTGTCTCCCCATTTCAGCATATCTGCATTTGAATGGTTATTTCTAATATGCTGTGAAATACTGAAATTGTTGGTGTGGTAAGCTGTTTTGCATGCTTAAAATTTTTTTATTTTATCAATACTAAATTATAGTTTCCTTGTCTCAGAAGAAATGCA